ATAGATGAAAGATGAAAGATGATGAATGACAAAGAAATTTTGTAAAACAGACTTTTCTAAAACGATGAAATAGTATCCTATTGATGCAGTAATAGTTTTTTGATACCTTGTTTTTCTATACCATACGTTGTTCGGTACAGAAGAGGATGGCCTGGCTATTATATGACCGACTATACTATAATTATTGGATCTCAAACTTTGATATTGACATAACCGAACCGTGGGGGAGTATCTATGATATATAATCAATACCAAGCAATGAGGAAATAATGTCTAGTTGATGATAGATGTTGCTGATGCTGCTTTGGGGAAACATAAAACTATTATAAATCAACTGCGTTGGTCCGCAGAGGTATACCTCTGTTATCACATTAAAACAATCAGTATAATAATGTTTTATCCTTAACGCAGTCAATATATATTGTTTTAAACGGTACTTTTATAATCAATGATTACTGATGTTGTTGTGTCATTTTAATTAATAGTTATGCGTTAGCACAGGAGATATTAATCTTTTTAGATTGCGGTTGCTTATTCGACGAAACTATTAAAAACCAATTGCACGCAATTTGAACTGTTGTTTGCGTAATGTACAAAATTATTTGTGCAAAATAACGTAGTCTTGCATGCGGAAAATGTTCTACATCAATGTAACAAATGCATCGCAGAAAGCAAAATCAAATTTATTGATGAAAATGTTTGTATATGAAATGAATATTGATCCGTTTTGAGTGTTTTAACCACTTTGCATTGTTAAGTTTACGTTCAAGGCTGCCTACGAAAGGATGCAAAAGTCATGTATTCAAGATCACAATTTAAACAACCAGACAGGATATACACATACAGTGATATCGAAATGGTAACCAGATAATACCTTTCACTTTGCTAGAAAATGTAGCACGAAGAAAATTAAAACGAAGATGCTGCAACATTCCCTATTTGTTAATTATCTTTTTTTGTTGTTCAGACCAAGTCCCGAATTATAGTCAAAATATAGATGTGTCCTGTTTATAAATACATTATGTATGTTGTTAAAGTTTTCCTTTCCGAGGCTTATACTATGCTGTAGATTCGTTGAACCATTTCAAGCCATGGATATAAGAGTTTGCCTAAATAAAGGTTCACAGTTCCCATGTAATTGACCGGAGACAAAATGACGGTTACCGCAAGCTGTGTAAACATTGTTTCATAGTACAGGTTCCTCTTCATTCTATAAAGATTCATTACGTTTTTTGCCCTTTGTTTTGGTTTTCCCTCAGTTCTTCATTTTTCCTTCCTGATATTAAGTAACTCCTCGCGTCTTGGTGATGTCCTTCCTTATGTTTAAAGTCGTCTCAGTTCTTGTTGTTGAATTTCCTTTTGTTTTGGTGTGTCCTCAGTTTTTGTTGTTGCGTTTCTTCTTATTTTGGTGTCTTCTTTAGTTCTTTTTGATGTCTTATTGTGTTGTTTTGATGTGTCTTTGTGTTGTTTTGATGTCTTCTTTGTTCTTATTATTGTCTTCTCTTTTGATTTTTGCGTCTCTTTAGTTCCTGCTTCTGTTTTTCGTTATGATTTTGTGTCTCCTCAGTCCCTGTTGTTGTCAGGTGTTTTTGTGTTTCCTCAGTTGCTGTTGTTGTCTGTCCTTTTTTTTCGGATGTTTTCTGTTGTTTTGTTTTGTTGTATCCAAGGTTTCTTTATCAACAACTGACAGAAAAATCTGTTTTGTAAATGTTCTGATAGGTAGTAATGGTTCTGTAGTTTACTAGCTATTAACTAACTGTAAAAGTTCTTAACAACAGAGGATCTAAACACCGTTTCCTTATATGTATAGATTCGTTGTATTTTTAAAAGGAAACACTAGTACTATATATTCTGTTATGATAATTACCGTTGTATCAAACCGATGCTGTGCTTATTTGCTTATATAAGTATCATACATGACCCTATTGATACCTCATACTATATCAAATTCAGCATCCTAGGTAGTTACATCCTGCAATTTTATTGACAAACGCAGCTGTCTTGTATAATAATATCTTTGAATGTAATATGAAGGGAAATTATTTGACCATACATACAAAAATTCACTTTAACTCGTAAAATTATGTAAATAAAGGACATTTTGTTTGTTTGTCTTGAGGTTGAGTTTTATGTATCAAAATCGAGTTTTCGATATAAAGATTGACCTGTTAATGTTACTGCGATTGAGTTGTAATTTATACTTTGTGATTTATTGAAGTAACATTGTTGACGTATTGAAATCGAATTGGATGTCACTTTCTGTAATCCTTTGGTATCGAGTTATCTGTAGGATTTTGTAAGCAGTGATTTAGTTGAAATCATCTTTTTATCATTTGTTGTGATCTAGTTGTAGTTCTCCTTTAGAAATCTTTTTAGACGGAAACGTTGTAAGCATTGAAATCGATTCATAATTTATTTGTTGTATTCTATAGAGTACGAATTGTTGGTTTTGAGATCTACTTGTATGTTACCTTTGTAATGTTTTGATATAACATTGTCTAATAGGTATCATTGTTTTGAGATGTAGCTGTGTATTACTTTTATTATCATTTGAAAACGAATTGTTTATTACTTTTAACATTCTTTGAGATCAAGGCATATGTATTGAAATAGAGAATTAAAGTACTTTTTTAAAATGCAGATACGTTCTGAAGCATGAATAATAGTCTCATAAAAATAACTTATTACATCGTTAGTGACCAGCGAACTTTCTAGGTTTTTTTAATGTCATCGCTTGTCTTCGTTTTTATCATATTTTCGTGTTTTCTCTGTTATTTTCCTCTTTTTTTTTATTGACGCCGAATGGTTTAATATTTTGACCACCGGTACTAGTTTTATTTTATTTCGCTTCTGGTTATATTTTCATATATATATATATATTATTGATTTTGATGTGTCATTTCGGACATTGCTTTATTTTTGTTTTATTTTTGTCCCGTTTATTCAATGTATGTTGACCTGTAGTAATTTGTTCTCCTAATGTTGGTTATCATTTCACAGATTATGGTTGACATCCGTTTTATAGAGGAGAATCATGATGTTTTCTTCTATTGTTTGGTGTCAGATTCTCTTGTTTTTGATCATGCGTCCCCTTTGTTCATGTTCATCCTTTTTTAGTTTGAATATTTTGTGTTGCCATTATGGTAAAAAATCTGTTTATTGAAAATAAACTGATAAAACCCTTTAAATGGAGGCATGAACTGACCCATCTGCTTTTTATGTTCCTTCTTTCAGTTTTTATACATACTTATTCATGTTGTTGTTATTTGTTTACGTTATCATATAATATCTTATTATTACCTTTTTTCCATCTTCACATCTTTGATATCTAAAAACAACGATCATGTGCATTAAGATATATTTTTAATTTCAGTTAGATTGATGTAGAAATCTACATGTGTAGAGTATAAGAAATGTTATACTCGCTTTCGGAAATGAGATTTAGTTGATTGTTGAAACATGATATTAAAGCCTTTATATTGAAATTGCTTATTCATCAAAATCCATATTTACCAGAACTGAAATAATTGGATATTGGATATAGTGTGTACAAATGATAAGTTCAGAATACATATAGTTATCTGTTTTGTTTTTTGTTTGTTTCGTTTTTCTTATAAAATATGTTAAATTTAAAATGTGACCTTCATACATGTAGATAAATAGTATTAAGCACTGGAATATGAAACACACAACTCGAATAGGCCGGATCTTATTGGACAACAGCTACAGTTTAAAAGAGTATAAGACATTAAAATAGAACATATATGGTCATTTAAGCATGAAACTGAAAGCAGCTCAATAGCTATATAAATCACTTTTGAAACATGTCAATATCATAGAAACTAAAGTAATGCTCGCGTCATAAATCGTGCCACGGTTTTCATAGCTGAAATTAATGTCATCTGAATGTGCCGGGCTATATTTTTGAATTGTCACAAAATCGGTAAACACAGTGTAATGAACTATGTGGTAATTTGTATATTGTTTGCATTGCTGATGAATAAAACATATTATTTTTCTGCATCGTTGTTTTCAAGGAATTATTTTTTCATATTTCTGTTGTTTTTGTTAAATTTGCAGGACTGGAATTCCTTTTAGAGATGATTTTAACGAATCAATAAAAATGTGATAACAAGAAAGCACAATTTTCTCCACTCTGACTTCTTTTTCTTCTTCATCTTCTTCTAGGCATTTCGATGAAGCGTTTAACAGATCTCACGGTCCTCATCAGGTTTTCCCTGAGAGATATCATGTTTTCATTTGATATGAATATCGACATATTTGAATATGCTCAAACGTGTTCTTAATAGGTTTGTTATCACAACCCCGGTTCCCAGTTTGAGAACGTGATAACGTTTGAATTGTATCTGGATTTCCATTGCGGGTGTCGTCGATGAAGAGGGAGACGCTTATCTTTTCCAGAATACCCAGTCTTAATCGTCTTGTATTTTTAAGGTTCTCAGTGTAAATCTTTATCGATTTGATTTTGAGCTACATTGTGTTTACACGCTTGTATTCTCTTGTTTTCTTTCAAGTATTTATTAACACTTTCAAGGATTATTTCAAATTTGTTTTCTGAATAAAGTAACAAATTATTTATTCATATTGTCTTTCTTTTAGACCGAAATATTTATATAATTAAATATAATTTGATATATAACATATCTAATTTTGGAACCTATCTAAATATTTGTAATTAAACCTTTTGTAATCTGTCACATGAAGTTCGTCAGCAAAAGGTTACAATCTTTCAAAAAGCACCTAAGTGGGAGAAAGAACAAAAGTATTTGTTGTTAAGCCTATATTGATTCTTTGATAAACATTTTCTGTAATTGTTGAAAAAACATGGAGTAAATAATACTATAAGTCAGTCAAATTTCGAAATTTGCTGCTTTGTTATTCAGCATTAATCAAGAATAAAAAAAAAACATGAGCATTTATACAAATGCTTGTTGCATGCAAGGATCAAGAAAAACTCAAAGAAACAATGTAAAGTTTTATTGCTATTTATTTAACATATCATTAATTTTGCTGGCTTTGTGATGTAAGACAATTCTAAAGTAGAATCGTCAATAAATGAACACTAATATGCAAAAAGCGAGGTATGTTGTTCGGATGAATAAAAATTGACCCCGAAATAATAAAACTTTTCAAGACTCAAGCCATTTCACAAGCAAGGATTTCGCTCAAAGTTGAATATAAATTTTCAATGAAAGATTATCGTTTACATATTGACTGTTCTAAACTGAGACTTACATGACTTAAAATTGATTAATACTTTTGAGCAGACCCTAGTATAAGTCTTGATATAACTGTTTTACCATTTCGGAGCTAAAGGAATTTGAGTCCAGTAGATCCAAGTTTGATGAATCAATGCCATATCATTCCATTACTTGTTACATTGATTAATTAAAATGTCTATTTCATTGAAGAAGTTAAAAAAGAAATCTAATATTTTAAAGATATTATTTTGTTTTGAAATAAAACATGTCATAATCGTTATGACAATGGACCATGGCATTGCAAGATATCATCATACTTGGAGGTATTGAACGCAGGTTGAGATCACAATTACTAAGACCATCACTCACAGAGTAGCAGGGCTCCGGAGACAGGAGAGGGGGCACATGGGGAATAACTTTGCAGACATAACCCTAACAAACTGTTAGCATTTTTACAAAAAGAAAACAATCATTAATTGTAGCATAACAAAAAATTGCGTATTTCTTTTCAAACTTTAGTACAATAATATAACAAAAAAAGGGTCTCTTTTGGATGGGATGGGAGCACAATTAACTCAAGTTGAGAAGTGCTCTTCATAATACAGAAAAGTATATTCTTTTCTGAGCTAACTAAATCTGACAAATACTATAAAAAAATAACAAACGTTATGTACATATAATAAATAAGTGAACTTGTGAGATTCAGGTACATTGTGTGTTATTTATCGTGTAATGTTTGTGTAAAATGTCACAATAAAGATTTAAAATGTAATACATATATAAAAACATTCACACTTTCTTTTGAGATATCAACTCACAGAACATATAGGCAATCAGACGATACATGCTCTCTTCTCTTACGACCGATTATCGTCTTATAACATATGGACACTCTTCACTTTCTGAATATCTATGACAAATAAGAACAACAAATTTGAGCTCGTAAGACAATATGTATATAGCTATATATTTATATATAGAAAACATTTACCTTTTCACGCTAACTATTACAAATACTAATGTGATTTTCTTACGCTATTTATTATTTTCAAAAATGAACTGTATTCTTTTTTACATAAGTTACGCGAAAGATATTTTTCTCTGATAATTTGTGCATGGAGGCATATATATTGTATTTGCCTTTGTAAAAGCAATGCGTCGGATACACTAGCGCGTAGAATTAATTTAGCAATAGTTTATATTAATATTTGAATCAAAAGTTTCAATTTATGTTTATAAAAAAGTAGAGGTAAAAAGTTATTGATTTTTTTTCCCAATATAAACAGCCAAAAGATTGAAAAAAATTGTGCCACATATTTATTACCTTGTATCGTGCAAATAAGTATACGTTGCTTAAAATGTGCAACATAAACCAAGGCAAGAATTGTAATAGAATACATCTATATTGAGTTAATGCTTGTCCTCTTCACATACATTTCTACAGTTTCGATAAATATCGTGCGTCTTTTCCATTAAGTCAAATTAAGATAAGTACGTCTTAAGATTGAAAACGACAGCAATGACAGAAATTGACAAAATCATTCTCATCATTGAGCTTTAGGTTGATGCTAAAAACACCATTTGGTAAATATCGCGTCAAATTATCCAACATTTGTTTCAATTAAAACAAGAATCTTTATAGCAATACCAATTTGTACATACAACTTAGAACTAACATTGTAATCGTCAGGTCAAGCAATGTAGCGACGCTTGCGATCAACAGAGCAATTGTATCGTTCTACACTACATTTACAAATTTGCCCCAACTTTGAACATTCGAACTAAAATCTTGAGAATCCATCCGAACGTCGCTGTGATGTTTGTGATTGACTGGATATTTTAGGACTCTTATCCTTAATGTCCCCCATTATTTACCAATCGCTTCTGAGCGGCTTTCGTGAACACGGATTTCAACGATGATAACAAAGATGGCGGACCAATGGCGGCCCTTGACTGTTAACGTAACTATTGGTTACCAATGACAAATCGTTCGAAGCACTACCGGTAGGGTGCGCCACGATATAGAGTAATTTCCTGAGCACTAAATACTGGCAATGAATAGTTGATACTATGTTTGATCACAGATACCGAACAGTTTCTTATTTATAGGCAGTTCCAGATCATGTTCTGTGTCCATTTAATCCAATTTCAGAAAAGCTGAAACAGCATTGCAGACCCAGTGTCTGGAAACCAAAATAGACATTGTTTATGGCTGCTGCACTGCGGTCGCAACATCCTCTTTCCTCTTTTCAAAGAAATGTCTATCAGACAACTGACTGTTTTCGCTTTGTGAATTCTTCATTCGGTTGTTCCTTGTCACATAACTGCAATAATAACAGTTGCTTAAATAATATCGATGATGAACCGTCACATTCCGATGTCACCGAATCCAGATTTGTTTGCCAGTCAGAGAGTATCCTTCTTTTCTTATATATTGGAATATCGCGTTATTTATTCTCTACCTATTGGTCAGATTCGGAGGTTGACTTCATCTGGACCAATCATAATATAGCACGACTGAGCTTGAGTTTCGGGAAGATAACTTCCGAAGTTTTGGACAAATTGTCATCACATATAGGATGTGTTTATGGAACTATCATTGTAGTCTAGGCCAATATTGCGTTGGCATTGTCCCCATATGATGATGAGCACTCATGTCCTGTGGCCCACCCCCGGGCACTTGTATTGGAACTGACACACCCGGAGATATAAGACCTGTAATAAGCAAAATACGATGGCATTTAATAATTAGTTATTGTTAATCAGTCAAATGGACCAATTCCTTGACTTAAACAAATATATCATTAATTTATATGATAATATTTAGTCTTATATAAATGACTTATGAGTGAATGAGAGGTAGAAAAAAAGGAGACGCAAACTCAAAGTAAACATTAAATTAATATACATAAAATAGAGTGTAGGGCTTTCCAACTGTCGGTCTCTTTTAATTAAATAAGTAGTTTTGGTTTAAGGAAACACAAAAACAATATGTATATAACTATTTCGACTTTAAATTGCACATCAAAACACAGTTACTTATAAGGCAGGACGTCTATCTTACTCTGTTTGTAAGACTGAAAAACAAATTACATGTTCTGAAATTAATAATAACATTAGAAAAAAGTTTACAAACTTTTTTGGAATTTGGTATAGGCACCATTAGGTAACTACAGGTGATTACAAAAAAAACATAAAAGTTCAACATAGGTGAGGAACATCAGACCACAAAATGATATTAAGAGGGCCCGATGAGACACCAAAACAAAAGGAAAATCATCATGATCTCCTCTTGTGGAGGCAAACAGATGTTCCGGCAAGGTTGCCGATTTCTGTACCATGTATGGCTAATGGCGCGACCTCTCTTTGATTGCTTATTATTCGTAGGGAGTAGCCATTGAGAACTTACCCGTAGAAGATCCATTATGGGAATTGTGCGCCATATGGCTCTGCATGCTTGCTGCGGTGTTGCACGGGGGACGGGAGTAGCTGCTAAGAGACAGAGGATCGTACCCGCGGCCAGAGTAGTCTGGGGAATAAATAAATGGTAAAAATATACATATTTCATATTTAAAAAATGGAGTGAAATACAAACCTTAAATATTTAATATATCACTCAGCGATGGATGGAAAGGGGAAAAGAGTATTATGGAAGCAACATGAAACAGAGTCTAAGGTTAGAGTCAATACGAAACTCCAATAACATAAGCCAATGAGACGCAAGAAAAATATATCTCTACAAATTATGATTAGATAAAACAACTATTTATCATGCTAACGCTTATCAACAAAATAACAGTATGAAAAAAACATTATTAGGGGAAAATATACAAACTGATAATCGAAAAATAAACAATTCCATATTAGCAGTTCGGGAAATAAATATGAACGATACAAAGGATGCAAATATTTCTAAAAATGATTAAAAGATAAAACGCATGCCTACTGTGCTTCTGGTAAAAATCCATACACATGACACAACATTCAGAACCTTTCTTTCTTGTCTCGGGTAATATTTCCCAATTTCCCACTAGTCCAAGTTATATTGCCCAATCAAATGCCATGAGAACGACCATTGTGAAGGCTTATAACACAGGATACAGGTCGTAAAATATGTATGAATCAGAGAATATCACGTTTCTCGTATACAAAGACATTCCAGCGTAAGTTTAATATTCGTTGATATTTAATCAATAACCTTTAAAAACGTCTCTAATATCGCTACCACTGGCTTCATTAAGGACGATGGTTCGAATACTTTATTTTACAGCCAAGGTATCGTGAATTTGAGTTGTGACAAACATAAATCATGAGGTGTTAAGCTGCGTTTCGAAGAACGAAAAGAATATTCTGATGAGCTTTTGCAGAGATTGCAAGTGCTGTTACTAATTGGAGGTACACAAATAACATACTAAGCAAGGATCTGCCATGTTTAGCAAACCCTAATACTCCAGCATTTTGATACATTCTTAAGAACAGTGAAAAAGTCAGTTTAAAGCTCTCAAATAGATATAGAAATCAAAACGTATCGAAATAAATATCCGGGAATGGCAGCTTGCAGAGTCATCGAACAGATACATTTGTTTACCAGGGCTGAACAGTGGTACGAATATGTGTCTCATACAAATATGACATATACCTGGCAGGCATAATACGGTGTTATGATTAGGGGATTTATGACCATGACTCACCTGGTAACATACAGGAGTAAGATGAGGTGTTTGCGGACTGAAGACAGGCAGGGTTGGTCTGGAGATTGTTTGCAAGCGAGTATGTTGGTACGGTGGGCATTGTACTACAACAAATAACAATATATCGTATATGATATGAACTCTATTTTTTGGTTCTGTTTGATTCGGTATGAATTCAGTCAAATTTGTAATAATGAAACACGACAATACTTATATCGTATTAACTATTGTACCATATAATAGATACAGTGATAGTATCACTAGATTGACCGAAATTATATAATTAATAACCTTCTAATGCAATATCACTACTGTAGGCAAAACCTGTGCGAAAATGCAAATATATCATGTAATAAAACAACAAATCTGGTGATCAAATATGTATTTTATACAGAAACCGTTATTTCATTCCTAACTATTAAAAAAATGAATGTTGACAATTAGTTTTCCTATAATTTTTAAGATATACAATATAAAAGATTATGTAGAAAAGTCAGTTAAAATTATAGATGCTAGCTTTGTCATGTTATTACACTTTTTGCTGGTTAGATCTTATATGTTACATATTACATAAGCCATGCTATATAAAAAAAAAGATTGGTTGAAATAGTTTATTTGATATTATTTTTAAACGTCCACGACTTATGACATCACGAAGAAGAAACCTCGAACGTAGTAAATCCACAACGATGATATACCTGTATGGCTCTGCAATGGTGCCTATTTGTTGATGTATTGACGGATACATTCCGTTCGGAAAGCTGCTGTTGATAGGTAGTCTCGTAGATCCATTCGGTACTTCTCTTCTCTGATTACGTAGTTTTTCTTCTCTTCTCCATTTTGCTCTTCTATTTGAAAACCATACCTACAAAAATAAATGGTAATCGTAAATGAAAATGAAAACTGATAACAGGTACAAATAACATTTTTGTCCTTTTGAAATTAGGAAACTCAGAATGATTGTTTTTTATCTGAGTAGTAAAACAAGTATTCTAATCAAAGAATGCTTGTACATCTTCAGACAAAATTCCGTATGTTTTGTAAAAGTTGCAATGCATTCCATGTACGTTAATTGGAATGAAACTAGTTTTATAGCCTAAGATATACATAAAGAAGCCATATTCGCAGGTACAACTTATATAAAACCGTTTTAAATATACTAAAACGTTCTGGTAAGTTTTTGTTTTCAACGTGAAATGAATTATTTATAGGACATGATAATTTTAGCACAGTCATATTTAAATCAGTTACTCAATTCGATTTAACAAAGAAATTTAAAATAAACACGTGACTTACCTGTATTCTGGCTTCAGGGAGATCAATTTTTTGAGCTAACCGCTCACGTGCAAAAACATCTGGATAATGCGTCCGCTCAAATTCTACAAAATAAACAGAAAAAGGAGGACTTTAGAAAAACCTGTTTATTCTCCGTTTTTGAATATAGAAACAATAATATAAAGTAATATAATCAGCATTTCATGGATTTAGTTAATATATGATGGATTTAAAGGTATGACCATTCATGATGCATCGACTTATCCAGTGTTTTGTTTCAAAAATTACAATATTTTAAACATGTAGAACAATAATTATCTTAATTATTCAAAATTTAAATAATGTGCACAAGTTTGTTGATTCAACAAAATATGTAACTCTGTAATCTGCAATCGTTTATATTTCCCGATGGGACGTGGAATTGGATTTTCAGGTTAATTTGAACAATATAAAAACAGGATAATAATGTTGAATGTCGCTGTTTTTATATTGAATAACAATATATTTGTCACAATGAAGCGAATAACGAAAAGGAGATGATTGACTTTTGTTATCACTGAATGATGTATTGCTGCTCTACGGGAACACAATACGTATCAGGGGATTCGTATTTCATTGGTTTAATGAATTGAAAAGAAAAAAAAGTCCAATTGAAAAAATATCACCTTCAATAATTCCATTATATTAATTCATTGCGAAATAGTTTCACCTGACAAAATAAATGATACTCGTTATTAAGCAGTAAAATTAATAGGATAAATTGATCGAGCTTAAAACCAATCCCCAAGGTAAAGACGATACCAACATAAAACATTGGAGAGTTCCGTTTTTCACTAGTGTTTTATACCCTACCCAGCATGAGTTAGATTTATGAGTTCCTAATTCCATTAAAAATAAATATTGTATATTTGTCGTTTCTGACTAATTATCCAGTTTCTATATTTCGATCACAATCATTTTCAAATTAAAATTAAATCATTATTCATTGAGTTTGGACATGCCTAGAAAACAAATCGGATGAATAACAACGTTTTTCCGCATGGATTATGTATACCATAATGTGTAAGTTTAAAATAATACGTGAATGTTTATTTCTAACACTGAATTTGAACGTTATTGCTGGTTTACTACACGGTAACTATTGATTATACTTTGGCATTGACGAATCGTGATTGCTGCAATCTCGGTTAGTTAATTAATAAGTCAATATGTGCATAAATACAAAAATATATAAGTATTGTATTACTATGTTAACATGGTTGACAGTAACACTTAAAGAACTCCTAACCTTTAAATAATCTTTTTCTTTTCAAATATTTTCGTCCTTTAATGGATTAAGTAACAGTAATTTAATTCTGGTTTATATAATCAGAGGAACATAGTAAAAAACGTGATTCTTAAAGTTAATCGGTAATCAAGAATCAAGAATGATGATTTGTGTATGCTTCACTGCTAATAAAATATACCAGAAGTTAGTTTCAAGTAAGATTACTACACCCCCGTCCCTCTGACACACTCACCTTTTTCTAACGACTCAATCTGGGAAGCTGTAAATGAGGTTCTGTTCCTCTGCAATTTGCGTTTGAGGCGTAAGCGCACCTGTTCATCCGTGTGCCCATTCTGATTTTCACTGTTCGTTTCTGATGCGGAACTGTCATTACCTGAAACACAAACAAACACATGTATACGGTGCTTCATTTATTTCACGATAAGCTAAAATAACATCAAGCTTCAGAAAGTCTTCAATAATTGAATCAACCAAGTTTGGCACTCATCTTTAGCTTTCTTATTGTATTTTTCATTCATTTGTTTCATTCTTCCTGTTCTATAATGGAAAGTTCGCTTTTCATTAAACTAGCCTCATGTTATGGCACCCCTGCCACCCTAGGATGGTACGTTCGACACTGCTGTTGTTGTCTTAGGCCTGCAGAGTTTTGTATGCTATTTTCTTTATGAAAGGTTGATACGTGTTTAATGATTCATTACCACGTGGGAATATAGCGTAGTTTGTAATGTTGTAATCTAACAGATTTAACAACCTGGCAGCTTCAATTTGTGTTATCTACATACTAAGCTTAAAATGGTGTTCGTTTATAAAAAGATGTCTAAATGGGATAGCAAATCGATATTAATTATAAGCGAAATCATCTGTTTTTAAATATGTCTATTTGAGACCGTTTTATATGAACAGCATTTAATCTAGTTTTAATTTGTAAATAATGACACAGGAGAGACATTCACTGTTAAGCTCCCGTGATCATTTTACCTGTTGTAGATGGCACGACAGTACTTTTCACTTAACATCAAAGCCTACTGCTGCAATGGACTTTAACAGTTACCATATGCATGGTCGTCAGCAAATGAATACACATTTATTTGCGCGTGCTGGATATTTCTGGAGCTTTCATGTCAGTACAATGGTAGTGAGGACGCGACACTACCGACTTCATGTGGCCCGTGGTTTACCGGAAGTATCTGTACAGGGATGTCGCGATAACTTTCATTTTAACTCATGCATCTACACAACTATGAACAGTCTCGATGGGAATTTGAATAGTTTTTTCCAAGCTCGTTCATAATGAAGACAGAAAATCTAATTAAATATAATTGTAGTTCTGTTTCAATATTTTGACCAAAAACAATAATATCCATAAAACAATAGAACAGATTCTTGAAATCTGCAATCCTGTTAAATGCCTCAGGAACTGTATTTGTCAAATAGTCAAGAGTTTTCCTGTATTTACTGCAGCAATTAAATGACAATGCTTGGAACCATGCTAATAAGGAGAAGAGGCCCAAACGTCATTAATTGGGTACTTAAGATCACAGGATGTGTTCTTCTAGTAAATAACAAGGAAGGGCAATACACATTAACGGCAGCATGTCAACAATGAACAAGGGTTTCCTCAAGAATGATTAGGAAGGTGTATTCATGTCAAGCTTTTGCGATAGAAAACAACCTTGGTTAATTTTGTTTTAACTTAAAGGCAGAACAGAAGGACGTATTGAAAACCAAACTCTTTTCCCCTGTCAACATGTCAAAATAATTATGTCAATTTATTCAAAGTTTTTTATCATCTAAAAAACCTATGCCTAGACATGTTTCTTCAAAGGTTGTATTTCTCAATAAGTATTTTCTTCCATAAACACAATCTTAAAAAACACATTGGCAATATCACTATAGAAATAAATGCTGACCACAACTCCATGTAGTTTAGAGTAATTTAAAGACAAAATGAAATTCATTTGCACTCTAGAAACCCCGACGCAAAATTACGGGGGATAGACCTCTAATGAAAGGGTAGATGGGCGTGTCCAGTGCGTCCAGGAGTTAACAACCGTGACTATGGCTCTAAGTCCCTTGGGTACAAGGTAATAACACGGTTCAATGACTTCGAGGTTATGAGGGGATAAGTGTAGAAAAAGTAAACATTATACATTATAAACACTGAATAAATAAAAGCCAAGTATATATTTGTTTAATTTGCTCTTTTCCTTGTCTTGACCTCATTTCATTAAATATGAAATACCTGGGATTCTATTCTATATAATTTGTGAAATGTAGTCATTTTGTATGGCATTATTCTTTGAAATATTAAAACATAAAATGACAGAACTACCATCAGATGTCTATTGACATATAGATTTGTTTTTACATTTGTTCATCAATCAATATGTTCGCATTGTATGAATATAACTATTTATTATTCTAATATCCCAAACGTATCTATAATTGTCTGCATCATAAGAAATATTTGAAATGAGTAATATGTTTCACTATTATATTCCTATTCTTCTCTTCCTGATATCATTATAACACCGAGAAATTATGTCGGGAGAGTATAAATCTAGACCTAGAAGAATAAACGTTCACAATTTAAAGGAATAATATTTCCACAGCATTGTATTTATAAATGTAACATCACTTTCACATTAAGCAATTCAACGGTGATCATTTTAATACTAGAATAAGATTATTTATTCATTAAATCTATTTATTTTTATTTTTGCAAATAAAATATTTTTGAGAACCAAATGCTACTTTGGATTGTCAATAAATCAACGAAACCTGTTAAGACTAAATCTTGATTAATATCCTAATCTAATTAAAGTGTCTTATCTTTTTATTTGTCGGTTTATTTGTTGAGATCCTTATGCTCGTTTATTTGATAGCCCGGACCGTCGAGATAAGTCATACAGGTGAAGCTATCTCTTCTCGTACGGAAATCCTATCAATGTCAGCCAAGTCGAATGTGAGCCTCGAGGCGCGAGATTGAAACAAATTATCAAATAGTATCAGCGGTCCGAGCTCGCCAGAGCGAGACATCGTGGTCATCGTGTTTATATCTGATAGGATTCAGCCGGACTTTTGTCCGGCTTTAAATTTAGGTAGCTCCCGAGGACAAATTTGTCTGACAAAACATATGTCATACAATATGTTTAGATAGCTCTACCAGGGGATGTGGCCGCTGATGATGGAGTCTCCGATACGGGACGGAAGGGCGTGAGGAGATGACCACTGGGCAAGCGCGTGATAATGATCTCTAAATACATTTTAGAATTAAATCGATGACATCCATATCCGTGACCACAGGACAGAATGATAAAGCAAGATTGCTACTTGAAGATTTGACACCTCTTTGTTATCATTTATAATTAATCATCACTCCAAGATGCTAAATTAATATAATAATACATTTCTACATCATTTATCTCCTTTTAAAAAGTGATCCACAATAAAAAATATGTTTGATGTAAAAGACATGGTATAGGCCTCATATGTTCTTACCTATCTTTAATAAAAATTCATTGGCTTAGCGACATTCGGGTAAAATTTAAAAAAGCTAACATTTTCATAATTACTTAAACTTTAAAAAGCCAAATATTTTAAAATAACCACGGATCAAAAATGATAACCCTTTTGTAATTAACTCCAAAATAATTCAAATTCTAATAATGGTTTCCAATCATTTGAAAATTTGACTCATCTATTATTATGCTGATGCAATTTTAAGAAAATGCAGTTAAAACTGTTTAAGTGGAATTTACTATGACATATGTTATGTACGTATGATGTGTATAGTGATACAAGGCGGTGAACTATTATACCAGGGACAACGTACAACACACACAGGAGATAAATACTTAAATCATTTCGAATAAATAAAAGAAAATGTCCGTCTTAACGCTTTTTTATCAAATTTATCCTGGACGATATTTACGCAAATATAATTTCCACAAAAATATATTCATATGATAGCGCTCATTTCCCTTTGTGGGAATATCTTAAATAATGCGTTTTTAGTTTTAAAAATAAGGTTTGTCGAAAAAAAGGCCTTTAAATAAATACACCGTTCCGTATTGACATTCATGTTAAAAAGTATATCAAAAGACTTCAAAACAGTAATCTTTACTGAAACCTAAATTGGGAACAGAAAAAGAACGAATAAAGATGTCAAGATAGAAAGAATAATCATAAATTGTTTTTGTAACTAGAATAACCACTCTCGAAAACATATAATAATTACAATGTTACGTGTAAATGCAAAAAATTAACTACGTAGATATATATATTCCTTTTAAAAATAGCGACACGCTGAGTCCGTTTAGGATTTACTACACGCGTAGCTATTTACGTCCCCTAGAGTAGTCACGTGACCTAGATATAAATGTGTGTGTATATGGTGCCATTGTGTATCGATTCATTCATACATAGGTAGCCGCTAGAATGGGCAGAGCGATCGAGCGTGACAGTTTTACGCATCTTCAATTGGATCAGTCAGGTAGACGTGTTATAAGCACCCCGAACCGGCAGAAATATACGCTGATAGACGTATAAACATAACACCTGTAGTTACACGAAGGTCATACAGAGATGTAATTAACATTCTTGCACGTTGAAATACACATACGATAGCTTGCAGGCAGAACTTGCACAATCCTGGTTGTTTGTGTTGTTTGGGAAGCTCTATGGGGTGTATTGACAATGTTTATGATATAGGAGATTAAAGTTCCTTCTGATTTCTGTAATGAGTGTCCCAGCAAACTGTTGAGAGATTTTGTTTGGCGTTTAATCCGATCAAGAATTGGTTTCCGTTCAAAAGGAATGCCCTTCCGACCTTACAAGTGTATCTTGTATTTCAGTACAAGTTTTCTAAACTAAAGGTGTTAAAGTATTTAAAAATTGGATAATAATTTTTTCAGCGATTAGAACGACTGGCGCCACCAGATGATTGTTGAAAATAGTAATTTAGCTGTAAAGTCAATATTGTGCTCTGAGATTTCTACAGGACAATTTTGTTCTTACAAATTCTCCTTGAATTGATCATCGTAAACCTCTTAAGACGGATTTACTTTTCATAAAACAATCTTACCAGCTACGCATTGCACAACCCTGTAGAGGTTTCTTAATGTGTAACCTTTTTGTTATTTACTGTGAAGCGATTATTCAGTCAAAGGCGCTAAATGTATTTATGGGAAATAATAAAAAGGATACTTCGCCAGAACAGAATAAGATCCCCTAAGAATGTACAGAGAGCTCTTTAAATAGCGGTGTTTTAAATCTTTCGTTCGGAATCCATATTTATATGTGAACGGATTAGTCTGGAGTCCTCAATGGTGCTGCAGACAGTCAGACGACGGTGGACAATACACACAAGTGTTTCTCTCTCGTCCAAAAGTCATCTTAAGCATTGTGAAAATATCCGATTGTCCAAGACTTGAATGGCTACTACAGTTCAGCCTAATACTTTGTTTAATGGAGTCGTCCAAGTCTTCCTATGGGTCGACACTTTGTTATTATTTCCTTATTGTAACTGAGCTTCCGGCAATTGTGACGTGTTGCATATTGCCAAAGGTATTAGAGAGTTTCACTTTCATTTTCAGTGTAATACCCTTCAATCAGACATGCCTGTCTTCAACATTGTGCATCAGGGTACACATGAACGCCAGATGGTGCGAAAAGCAAATTCATTGTTGTGCATATTTGTGCATAGGTAGGTTATTAAACTAATGAAGTCGTTAGATTGAAAAAAGTACAGATTTAATGGGTATATTAATATTTTTTAAGAAGATTTAGGGAGAATATTAAATGAAACTAACATGTATAAATACACAACGCTAAATGAAACACTGTTCTATTACATTAGGCATGGTACTACTTAATACTGATAAAAGATCCAAGTTATCAAAAACATAACTTTCATCTTAAATTATGATGGGAAAAATCACCATATTGAGAACAAGTGTGAATACAACCATTTCTAGACCGCTGTGAGGAAGTTCTTGGTATGCATTTGATCTCTTTATTAATGCAGACAAGTATTCATCCGGGTAGCAAACGGTAAGGCTAATTTTGAAAACGAAAAGGTAATGGGAGAAAAGGTAAAAGGTCATAACCACATGTAGCGGTATTTCGTAGGGAAGGCTACAATCACTCTCTCTACTGGAGATCGGTCTAGCGCAACTCATCTTGTTCCTCGGAAGGTTTGATCTGTTTGTATTCCACGGCAGGAACACATTCCTTATAAGTTTGGATTATCATTTTTACCAGGCGTTTATGAGAATGTCTGTCTTACTCAATCGGAGCTTGCGATGAAAATTTGTAATTATGAAATGAAATACCTGCTATGCGCGTACCCTATTAGGGAAGAAGCCGGAGGCTGGATCTGATTGTATCATCGAAACCCTATTTTAACGGCTTACAGAGCAGAACGACTGGTTTTCTCCTTTTGTCGGCATCCAATTGGAAAATCGTCTAATGATCTGGTGTGTTACAGAAGGGACCGTTCTAGCGCTAATTTAATTTTCCAAGCCTCCGAGACACTCCGATGTCGCTCCGCTTCACATTATTTTACCAACTTTGGTTATTAAAAGGGAAATTTATGAAATATTCATCCTTTAACTGGTTAGAGGTGGGACCATACGACTTGCTATTTTGCAATTGCCTCGGCCGACTTAGATTGGGAACCACGCTCTGAAGCCGTACGTCGGTGCCCAGCACCTAGGGATAACCTCTTAATCACCCTATCCTTGCTAGACACTGGCGAACTATACGCACTTTAAGGCGGCTATATTAATCTATACGCATCAGCGATCATTTCTAACAAATGAAAGCTGAGCGGACCGAAGAATATGAAAAATCAAAGAAGACGTTTCATCTCCCGTTCTGAGTGAATTATGAACATTGTGGATATGATTCTGTCAGTTTTACATAACCAACATTTACACTCATGCTGTGCGTGTGTGTAAACTCTTACACGAAAACAACGAGGAACCAGCTCCATAGCGTAAAACGTACCGCGTGCTTTAATGGGATTCAATGAAAAATAAATGCGATTGGCTATATTTGGGTTTAATAATTTACCATATGCTCGCGAAGTGAAGACACCGCTTTATGAAGACAATTACGTGTTTGTGTGGTGTTGTATGACGAGAATGTAATAACGTGAAACCAAACTCCCTTTCACACAACGCCTCAATGGACAGTAACATCATTCTAATTGTTTAGAAAAGCAGCAATTTTCTAAAAATCCTTTTTATTGTAACAATAACATGAACGATCCTATAGGATGTAGGGTACCCCAGTATCTCCCGTGTGTCATAATACAATGTCGCATTATGGTTTTACTACCTTTAATGAGATTCTTAAAAATCTCCAGGATTACTAAGAGAATATTAATATTTACCAAATCAAAAACAGGAAATATTAATAGACTTGATGTCCATGTTTGTAAGATAATCATACTTATTTTGTGCATTGCCTTCGTTTTGACTGTTGTAATTATCATTCCAGGGACTTCGGATTTGTTCTGTTTAAGGTTAATTATAATGGGGTTGTCAATTCTAAACGGTGTTATCGCATTTGTCTCATTATGTATCTGGCATGTTAATGACAAAAGTAATAATCAGCTGTAAAGATATGTATGTTATTTTTGTATTTCTCTTTGTATTAATTCGTATGCATAATTCAACTTTTAATTATTTCAAATTAAGTTTGGTAGTTTTTGTACCTTCTGTCTGCATGTAAAGCCAGCTGGGATATGCATGTTTGATTGGAACCCTGTTGGTGGTTTATAAATGAACGTTCATCACACGAGTTTCACAATATTGATAAAGAACTGATAGTGAATAAAAAGAATGAGACAAAAACAACGTAACCGGAAGTTGTCATTGACAAGTTAAGCATGGATTCCATCTCAGAAAACAAGATAACTTAGATTTCTATGTCATACATAATCTACCATAATTAACTTGTTTGTGCATTCTTTACGGTAAAATTACCCAAGTGTATTCACTTAGAATAGGATTTCATAATTACGTAGTCTGCGTTAAAAGCGAGCTCGAAAGGTAGAGGGGGTTAACTGTTCGACTTGGCTACGTTCACCTCCATTGCATCTACGCAAAACACGCGCCATTTCACATGCATGAAGAAAAATAATGACAATACGTTGAAGCGCATGAAGAGCCTTTTTTGCGGATAGGGTCTGTTGCTATTACCGGAAGTAGCATGCCAATATAGAGTAAAACCCTTGAGTTTTTAGCATGGATCCCTAATACTGTAAACCACAAATCTATTTTGGTAGTCATTGTATGTAGCTATGAAGAAGCTTACACCATATCGGTCTGTCATCACCAACATTTACAGTTTCCTGTTTCATGACTTGGAGGGAGAGACGACTAATTTTAGGTCAGAATTTTGGACAACTCTAATTGGACATTTGGGCAATATCGATGTTAATTGAAGTGGAGTAGGAATTTTGGACAGACAGCATTTTGAACTTTCTGTCAAAGGATGAACGTTAGACATAGATACAAAATGACAATATATACAGTATGACAATAGATACANACAATAGATACAGTATGACAATAGATACAGTATGACAATAGATACNAGTATGACAATAGATACAGTATGCTGACACTGAATTACAATGTACCATACAGCTGTTTTGTCCTTTAAGGATTCATCGTTTATACTCATTTATAATAGTCAGGTATATTTGATACTTATGCATATATCTTTTGCCCATAGTTTTTATTAGCAGTGATGATTTCAACTATTTAGCATCGTTTATCCTATAATTATTTATTATGAAATATCGATTTGTATTGTATGTTTATAAACATTGTAGTCTGTTTGATTGACCATCTATTTACAATGGTTATTCGACGTAAATAAGTCGTATAAATCTACTTTCAAACCGCCCGAATCATCAAAATATTACTATAAATGTATGGTAAATCAATATACTGGTACTTTCCATTCATTTTTCAGACTCACTACATAGTATCCACATGCTTTGCAAGTAATGACATTGCATTCTTTTGGGAATTCAATTGCAAAATATAGAATGCCATATTGACTAAATTCGTCATGAAGGCAACAGTTTGTCGCACGATAGATAGAAATAAAATACCACGAACTTCCTGCACCCTGTTCATTCCAGTTTCAGAGCCGATATTACAGTACGAATGTATTTTAGACATGTATAATATTAAACATTTTTGTCGAAGAATTTGATATATAATTCGTTTGACAAGTGCAAAGTAATCGTATTTCGTTTGTTTGATTTTATGTATATTTCAAACTACATATTTGATTTCCGCTTTTAATTGTGTTTAAATCCAATATAAACTCGTGATATGTTATCGATTGTTCAACTTATTTCTAATACACACATGCTAATATGATTTAAACAGTATGTTTCATTTTCTATTACTGAAACATGTATCATATTTATTATGTTTTGAATGATAAATAAAGTGTTATAAATTGTTGTAACAATATCATAACCTTATCATGTATCCGTCTATCGAAACATGAAACAAGCTAACAGTATCCAATTTCATTATAAAAAGTTGCACAAAGAGCAAAACTAGTCAAACAAGTATTGATGATACATATATGTAAATGCCACAAGAATCAACTCTGTATTGAGAATATGAATTTAAAGAAAAGTTTAATAACATATATTTTTCAATATAGATTTGTATATCACTATTAAACTCATATAAGTGAAGAATTGTGAGATCCAATTGATCATGCCAAGTTTACTTACTTTTCTTGTCTATGCAGAGTGGGGTGGAGCTTTGATGTGTAGGGTAAGGCGCGGGGGGTCCTAATCCAGCCATGGACATGTTAGACGTATACCAAGGGTTAGGGCGTGGCCACGACTGTCCGTTTAATAGACCCAGTTTATCGTACATTGCACCTTGTCCCATAACTTTCTGATTATCAGTACACAAGTTCCGTAGGACTCGGTTGATAGAAGATACCTGTTTCAAAGAGAAATAGAATATCATATTAGATTCAGTATTAGGGAATATCTGTCTCAAAGAGAAATAGAATATCATATTAGATTCAGTATTAGGGAATACATGTACCTGTTTCAAAGAGAAATAGAATATCATATTAGATTCAGCATTAGAAACTTAATCATTAAATTTCAAATGGTATTAAATAATTTTTTATAGAAACATGTATTATTTCTAGATACCATTGTGTTGATGCTATAGAGAGGAAAAACTATTCTGTAATTATATACATTAATCATGTTTATATTTAATTGATCTTTGAATATGTTTGATACATACGGATTGTTGATTATCTCTATGAGTTTAAAAAATACCTTAATTTATTTCGAAAATTAAAATCCAATATATTTAATCACTTATTATAAATATTACGCACATGTATGTACACAGAAAATAACATTTCGTATTGAATATATACCAGGAGAAACATTTTAGACGTTGTAACATTGCCTACAAGTAAATGATGTCTATTATCTATTCCGAGAATGAATCATTTGGAGAGGTACGGATTCAACAAATTACACAAGGGAATCATAATGTTAAAACGTGTACCTTTGGAACGTTGATCAACTTTGAAATATTAGAAAAGAGAGGTGCATGTTTGTAAGTATTATTAATGTTTCTGTAAGCAAATACAGAAGATTAATATATTTGACTTGTGTAATGATATACTATATATATAGAGAGAGAGAGAGTTATAGGCTACACACTTTCGGGCAGAGAATGTAACAGTTATTTACGTGTATAAGGACGCTCATATTGCTGTATGATATTATTTCGTTCAGAAAAAGATTAACCTGATATAATTTACTCGTTGTTTATCATTTCGGGCACCAAACAGGGGAAAATGAAACTATGTATAGTTTAAAAATGCACACATGGTACGTGTAGTATTAAGAAAACAATTTAAGTTTCTATTAATTAACTGAGTATGTAAATTTATTTGTAATTATTTCATAACTTTAATATACATCAGTTTGATAGACATGTTTATTTTGGCAAGTTTGACCTATATACAAACATGCATATTAATTTGGACAATCCATGCTTTAAAATTAACATGTACATGTACATGTACTTCCCAAAGTCTCTGGAAATGAACGGTTGCATTCAGACAAATGCTGGAAGATTAAGATTTCTATATTCATGCTTTGCATATTTCAACATTGCGTTTGGATTAATAATCCCTCATTTCCGACGTCTACAAGTGTCCCTGTTCTCTGTGACACGGCCAGCTGATTAACTTCCAGTCTCTGTTCCGTCCAAAACAATATATCGTCAGATTAATTCTGCAGCTGACCATTGCACTGATCCGTTTCTTTAGAATATCCACCCCTTTGAGGATTGGTCGGATGTTTTGGACGAGGTGACTTTATATTCCCTATGGTATTTACCCACTATGGGATATATAGATTCATTCAAAAAAGATGTTTTAATATCGTTTAGTGTCAATCTCTTTTGAATGGTAAACCAACGTGGTGTACTATATGAAATCAATAGTAAAATTGCATTATTGTTGAGGTAGATATATCATTTCAGCCTGCTTTGAAATTTATATATTTTATTGAAAACGTCGTAAACCTGATGCAATGTAGCAACAATATAATCTTGGTTGAATATTAAATATATAAATATTCAGAATGCTTTGTCACAGGTCTCTAATTGGATAAGGACGAATAATTATAAAATACTTATCCATATTGCGAAGTTTTTCTAGTACTCATTTTTTTTTTACAACAAAAGGCACTGTTTTATGAACTGCCAAGAAATAAATAACAAAAAAAATAACATTATCTGTTACATTTTTCGTTGTATCGTTTTTATAGCTCCCTGAGTACGGATCTTCGGTATTTCCACAGCTGACAAAATATGTGTATATGCACTGGCCGAGTTTCAGGCAGGTTGACTGTTAAAGCGTATGCACAATACAAGCTGTAACTAATCAATACCACGTGTTCTCTATTTACCTTACAATTGAACACATACACATTTAAAGGTAAATCAGTAATGATTGAGTAGGAAAGTATCAGATTTCTTATAACTATCCACGAATCGGGATGTGAATGAATTCATGACAAATTCGGAAGTAGACATCAATGGTCGAATTATCCGGCCATTTATGCAGGGACTCTTCATCATGAGCAGCTAAGACAGCCATCAATGGGAATTGATTAGAAACATTTTACAACTTTTAAAACGGTCAGATTATAAAGCACATGTTTTTTTATGATTCTAGACTAGAGAAAATACGGCTTTGTGAGTATTATTGACCCTTAATGATCGATAGGGCCACTCTAACAAGGGCGTCAGTGGGGTCTGAGGAAGATAAAAGAATTGCATGTCGTTTGAACTTTCGAGTTGCATTAGGTGTGTTTCTATGGCTGATATGGTGTATCCAGGAATGAGATATGTTTTGTGTTAATTTCATGACTTTGAAGTCCAAAGCGGATGTTTGTTAATTTTGCATATTATTTCTAGAGGAATATTGAATTGAAGCTAAACCCAATATTGTTTTATTTGAGCGTTATTTTTAGAATTATCTAATGGATGTGTTGTGGTTGATTACGTAAAATAATAAGTTTGTGTCCTTTAATGCATTGTTCTTACTTGAAAATGAATGAAATAGACAACCATATCTAATATTTCCTATCAACCAGAAATGAAGGATTTATGCCAAACGTTCATCGCATAAACCGTTTCAGGTATCTTTAAAACGATCAATTTGCTTCGATTTGTATTAAACACCAAAGAAAGAGAAAAACAAAGTTAAAAAATATTCAAATCAACAACCGTATCTTCTTTTCCCTTTGTAACCAAAACTGCATTATACATTCTGCGTCTGTTTGATTTTCTCTGTACATTTGTGAAAAAGGGGTTTTGCTTCCATTTGCATCTGATGTAAATTAAAAAAGAACAGATACTCCTGCATCTCAGCAGAATACATTTCATATTGTGCGAATGCTGTTTAAGTAACAGACCAGATTCCAAGAAGTTTGTGTGTATTTACGATTTGTTAATGTCGTTGTCGAGTTCATTCTACTTGATGTGATGAAGTGACCCCTGTATTATATGTAGGTTTGGGTGGCTACAAAGTAAACCAACCAATGTCGTTTACGAGTAAGAAATGTTGTATGTGTAAGGGGCATGTGGTTTTCGGGAACCTCCCATAACCGTTGACCCCGTATAATGTATAGAGAGTAAGGTACAAAAGACTGCGGTCACAAAGCACGGACAATATCATAACCCGAACCCCCTGTCATTATTACGTTACAACTCTAGTCTTCCGCGAGAGTTTACGGACTTTAGGCATTTATGCAACATAGTGCTACTGGTACTAGGAATCTCTGTTAAAGGTTGTCTTCTCTATGTGGGAAACCCTGTGTAAGGAGGGTGTTTCAGGTCAGTCGAAAAGTTTATAGTTCATTCTTTGTATTGCTATTCCCAACCCTACATCTGTTTGGAGGATACTTTTATGTTCTAAGTTGAAATAAGTTATAAGCCGATAACAGTTATGTATATCATCTTCGATTTCAGCTTAAAGACAGATGGCAGAAACGCTTGATTAGCTGGACATTCTTTTCAAAAAAGAAGGAGGATATCTATCTCCAAAAAACTTTTTGATTTGGGAAACTCGGAGTAGCTCAGGTGGTTGCAGAGAGAACAAACTCGGATGATTTTCATTGAAAACAAGCTGATGCCATCTATGTGAATATGGAATTAAAATTCAATTCTGTTAAAAAATGAATAAGCTTTCAGGATTGTACGGAATACCTGCAGATTTTCCTGTTTGAACTTTATTGAATTCAAATATTGTGACCATACAACGGCCCCCTTCGTTGGAAACTTGCAATCGCAATCAGCATGGGCATTTGACAGATTGTTATGTGAAGGGGAAAGCAGTTCGGAGAAAGTCTAGCAGTTTATTGACAAACGTTCTGGGTACAAAAGTATCAAGAGTTTTTGATTTGTTATTGAACACGACATCCTAGGAGACTTCAAAAGTGAAGGATGCTTTTTTTTGTTCCAGCCTTCTGGATTAAGTTCGGCCTACCTTCATTCTTGACCAGAAGGGTCCGTTTCTTGTTGTCCATTTCCGCAATGGGAGAGTACAATATATTTAATCACGTATCACAGTGGTGATATATTTGTTTGTCAAAAGTGATGGCCGAGAGAGATTGCTTTTTGCTTGATTTGCCGGGATCTGGCGAACAAATGGCATTGAGGGGGGAAACTAGTGACTGAGGGAATGTATAGTAACAAGGATTATTGGTATTGCCGTGCTTAAGTGAGTGGTCGTTTTCACGTTCGATTCAGTTTACTTGTATGGATTTCATACAATTCTGCTCTACAATTGATTTTTGAGACAAGATGACATAGCGATATGACAGAACGGCAACAATTATAAAAAAACTGATACTAACGATGCTGCAGAGGAGATTCGGCGGGATTAAGATTTAGATTTGGTATACGAAATCTGGCCGCAGTTCAATCAGGGTCAAATCAAACATTTGATTAAAGCATTTTGATATATAGATGTCTACTAGAGGACAAACTTGATGTATTTTGGTATCAAAGATTTAAAAACAATAAATAGTTTGTGTATATAAACACTTCGGGATATATATTATTATTAATGAGATGAGTTGTATCTTAAAATATTTTACTTAATAAAACTTCGTATTTATCAGGTAATGCTTTTCAGATATCAATATTTTAGTGTTTTAAGCATACTTTCATTATTGAAAACACAGTTAGACCTTGAATCTATGAAGTTTTAACAATGTTGAACATCGCAAATTACAACTGAAGAAATCCTCAAATATAGGTCGCTTCGTTCACTAACGACTTTATCCCATATTGTTTATGCCTTAATTTCAAAACTAAGAAAACATATTTTTGTTTTAATACTTTTTAACATATTTTTCATTCTTGCTCTTTTAAAAATTATTACCATATACAAGCATTGAATTATATGCGAACATATTATAAAACTTGCAATAGTATAACCATCCACAACGTTTAAATATTATGATATATACGAATTATAATGAATACATATTAGGAATATATCGTAATCGGATATAAATGAAAATATATTTTATGAGCTACATAGGATCTCTATCGTCGACTTGACAAGCTTAAGCATTCTCCTGAAGCATATCAAACGTCATCAACGTAACTAGTCCTGTCACATATAAGTCGAACACGATATAAGTCGAATTACACGTAAGTCGAATCATAGAAAAGACAGATTTCATTGATGTGGTGGTGGAAGAACTTTTTTTCGGGAAAGCGAACGACTACATCTTCAGACGAGCTTAGAGCTTCTGTTCCCGTGAACGGCTAGCCTATTACAAAGGACAAGAAAATGCAAATAAGATGATTTGAATGATCAGAACTTGAATTTGTGCATCCATGCAAAGACGATTAGATTTTTGTTGAGCCTGGGCGCAGATGTGTCAAAATTAATTAATGCTCTAAATACTGGTGAAAATGACGAGAGCTTTCTCAGTTCTTTCATAAATTGTTCGAGAAAACATGTGGCTACTTCTAATTTTATGAAAAATGTTCTGCTCTCAACAAAATATGTCGCACGGATTCTTTCTTACCAGGTTTGAGCTTGCCTATGGTAATTTGGATCTAAGAAATCAACAAAGGCTATCCCGAGCAACTGCAGTAAGAGTGAAGAATGACATTACTAAAAGAGGGAGGTGATTTGGGTCCTAATAGTTTAGTTTGAAAAGATTGGAGGGGGTTGACAAATCCAGCCCCTATCAACACATGTAATATATTGAATGAAAGTTTTATTTAATAATCATCCGAAATAACATCCGCTAGATATTCGTTTTATCATAACAATCAATGTTGTCATTGTTGGGATTTGTTTTCCTAACTGAATCCTAAAAGTGTCTTTAATTCTTTTCTTCTAAATCTGATCCTTTAACTTTCTTGTACAAACAACCCACGTGTAAGCATACTGAACATGTTTGCACAAGTTCTTGAGGTGCTTCACAAATGATACCCAATGTAAACTAGTCTCCATTTCTGTATGCAGCTACTTCATGTGTGTCTTCATGGAGTCGCAAGCGGTCTTTGTTACATCTCGAAGTGTGTTATTTACACAAAATATTTACACTCTAATTATATGGGGTTGGTGTTCTTTTCGTGTCTCTTAAGGCACCGTTTCTCTGCTTGTTGTGCACAAACAAGCAAATACGGGAGAGTGCTTGGGCATATGGTCAGTTGAAACATTTGAAAACTGGACACTTGAATTTGGAAGTCATCCAGAGGCTTTATTTTGACACGGAAAAGAAGGTATTCAAATGTTGAAGTGGTAGTCAAGATTTTCAACTTTTTGACCCTGATCCATACCGTTAAGCCTCAGGCGAGCTAAAAGTTTGAGTCTCTAAATAATGGAAAGCAAAGAAATTGTGACTTTTTATTTGATATTTAGTCTTGGAAGATTAAACAGATATTGCTAATAAATTGATTAGCCATCCAAATGTCGCCAGAGCGATATGAGTTGAGTTGTGTTTATTCTGACCAGATATCACATATTTACATTAGAATCAAAGCCCACTTCTGATTCTGAAAGAACCTCAGGGAACAAATTTCATGGTGGATTTCATTCTGAAATATGGATTACCGCAGATTTGAATATTGAATTCAGCATCTAAGAAAGCAGAGGATCCTGACACCGTTGAATAATCTTTGTGTGAGAAATCGGCGATCGTATTAGAAATATTGATACAGGTACACAATATCAACACAGGTAAACTTTGTAGCCATACAATTCGCTTTTTTTTCATTTCATTGAGACTTCCGTTATATTTGTATTTTTCCTACATCATCTTTCGATTTATTACTATTTATTCAAGCAGAGAAAAATAGAAAAAAAACAGTTTATATAAAAGACCTTGATGTTTATTGTACGAGGCCTTTATATATTTTTGATAGAATATTTTATGATTCAAATAAAAATAGAAATATATATCAAAATGAAAATCATATTCTCACTGCAGTTATATTTTTAGTTTTTTGGTCTTTAAAAATGGTTTATTTATTTGCTTTCTAAATTAAAAATATTATTTTCTCATTTTTAGTTTAGTTCTTAAATTAAAAATAATTTGTTCAGACATGTTTAGAAAAAAAAAGTTAATCATTGTCATCATGCAGTGCGTTGCCTTGATGTATTTATTTGTAAGAGCTAAATATGTACATATGGATGAATGTATTAAAAACATTTTAAATATTCACAGCAAGATTCCGTCAAACATGCTGAGCTGTGACTTGTGCATCATTTCTGTTTAAAAATGAATTTTAAATTTCAAAGAAAAAGAAAATACTTAAATAAGTTAAATCTCAATTATTATTGCCATTTACTTCATTTCTTAATACATTATTGCACACGAAAGAGAGTATTTATAAATATGTTTATATACATAAATTGCTTTTGCTGTTTAATACGTTTATTTATTTATGAAACGGTGTCTCATAAATGGTGACAAATTTTCTCTGGATCGGTTAAATGTAATATCTCTTTCCTTTCCGAACAAGAAACATTTGTTCTAGACTGTCAACAGTCTTTTGATACCATAGTTTAAACGCCATAACAGGACCAGATGCGCGTATGCTTCCCACCAAATAGGATAAAGGGTGAGTGATCGCGCGACGGGAGAAAAACAGGCTTCTTAAAATGTGTCCAGCCATCCTGCTGGGCACCTTTCATGAAGGAGTAATTTAAGGAAGAAATGAGAATCTCATTGCTGTTCCATTGAAACGAAGACACGTGAAATCGTCGTCCGATCGTCATTTTAATATTGACGTCATTTTCAATCATTTCGATACCAGCCCATCGTGTAAAAAATAGATTTGTTTATATAGGGTGATCCAGATATTAATATGCATAAATGTCTTATGTAAAGTTATAAAATCCTGCCGCTCACTTTGTTACAACTTATATCGCTTTGATAAATATATTATTTCTCAATGGGATATTTTTTTCCAATCTGAAACGTGATCTGAATGTTTGATGTTTATGAAAATTAAATATTACCAATGGGTCGTATCATGGTTTATGTAAACCCGTTATTTCTAAACTATAAAGTATTATTGTAGGGTAATAGAAATAAATGCATTATATAAAAGCGCAGTAAAAAAGCAATCATATAAAAGAAAGGGGTGTTGGCTCTTTTGATCTTATGTTAAAGATAAGTGAAATCTTTTTTGAAAGCTTTCGCCGTGGTTATCAAGGCTTCAATAATATTTTAAATGGATTATATGACAGTAAATTTTAATCTAAAAATTACAATTTGCAGTTAAAAAATCAATCCGGTTTTAAAGATGTAAAGGCGTTTGGCGTTTGTCACATATTCGCAATAAATAAAATTTTAGATTAAAAAAAAAAGATATTGTATACAGGGTTTTGCACTTAAGTATCTCAATAGCACAAGCTTTGTTAAAAGGTTGGGTAACAGATGAACTTGGTATTTTTATGTTTAAACCAGATGTATTATTTATACATGTAGCTGAAAGCCATCGCCCGCATATCGTTCATCGAAAAACGTTTTTTTCTTCCATGAACATATATTTCCTTTTAATAATTAAAAATTGAATATTTTGTTATGTTTCTTTAGTTTTCAAATATCTTTCCGAAATTGTGTTTCAAAATACAAAATTAAATATTGTTGAACATACATGTAGGATGGATGAATAGAATTATCTCCCGTGATTCTCCTTTTTTTATACTTACACTAGGGATGTTGTCCTGGTTACAGCATCCGTCGGATAGCAACCGATCCCTTATTTCCCAGGCGAAAATTGATGGGCACTCCCTCTTGTATTGGGCTATTTTGCCCACCACGTCATTGGTAGCCACTCTTGGCTTACTACCACCTATCGCTCGAGGCCGTATCGAGCCGGTTTCATAATAACGGCCTAGTATTTTGCTAACACAGCCGTTGGAAACCTGGAGAATTCTGGATATATCACACGGACGGGCCCCACTATGGGCTAGCTCTACAATACGTTGCCGAGTTGAGTCTGGAAGAGGACGTCCGTTCACAAACACCCCTCCTAGCTGGTTGACGCCGCTGTGTCCTGAAATCAAAATAAACACATATTAGGAATATTGCATTTACATTTTTTTGTGTTTATGACTGAAAAAATATGGCTATTACAAAAAATGTTTTTGTTTTTCATTTCGAAAGTATATTTCGCATATCTTAACATGTGTATTAACTCTTTAGAATAAAAGCAACGGTACCTGAACAATAGCATGACCAAGAACTGATGACAAACTTAGTTAAGTTTGTTGCTTAGACATGTTTCTTCTCGATGTGTTTACGTCCCGTCATGGATCTACCACACAAAGTCGGAATTCCGACTAAAGAACTTTCCAATATATTTCTATATACATCACGATTTATAGATATCGATTTAAGTACCAGCTTCCAGAGAATGGGGAATGTTCTGTCAAAATCCGAGAAAACCAAATGTATTTACACTTCGGGTCTGTTAGCTTCCAACATTCTCAGTATGTCACAGACAATAAAAATGCAATTTGTCAAACCAGGTCTGTTGTAGCATGTTTTCAAGACATAGATTTAAATACAGCCTTTTTTCTCTATATTCATAGTGTTGTAAGATGTTTTTTAAAACAATGAATAAATTTCCTTTTTTCTAATTTATCAAAGGGATTTATCAGTTTATATATATATACAAATAAAAATTTCGATTATTAATAATACAGTTTAACATTATGAGTCTTTTTACATGAATAACAAATATTTGTATATTATGTGTGAACTACTATTACTTACAAGTTTGTAAATACCAGGTTATTTGTAAACTTATTATTTTTTTGTATAGAACTTTAAATATATTATTATTGATTATTAGATGTAGAATTGTTATGATAACCTAGAAAACAGATCTGCGTGGACTTGTTGTTTCTTAATGTTCTTGCATGGAACTTTAATAAAACGCAAATATATCTTCAGTCATTGTGAGTATTAACTTTTCATAATCCTAGATTTTCTAATAAACTCGTTTTTTTCTATAACAGTTTTCATTGTTTACTTGAATCCGACTTAATTTCCGATCCTATCGAAGACTATTATCTGTAAACGCTACCCCTTTCAAAATCTATAATATGTCTTCGTGCAGTAAAAAGTAAGGAAATAGTACAAGGTATAGATGTACGTGCGTGGCGTGAAAGTGGACCAATTGCATGTTACTGTTTAAGGGTGTTTACCAGAACGTCAAGATATCTTTACTTTGTTTACATCTTAAATGTCCTTTGTATCGACGTAGGAATTTGATCAGCATGTGCGAATGACAGAAATAATGCCATCAGTCTAAAAACGTTGCGTGACAGGGAGAAATAAAAAGTCCAAACCCGGCATGCAAATATTGCTTGTTACGTTAGTCTTTACAAAAACCTATTATATGAGTTTCACTGCTAGGGGAAATAAATATTTTTCATGACAGAATAGTAGCGTATAATAACTTGTTTGACAGTGGTGTGTACAAAGTCGGGACTGTGTTCTATACCACAGTGTGTTTCGTGGCTGTTCATTCATACCCAACTCCCGGCTATTGTCTAAGCAATTTCCAAGTTCATGTGTCGCTGCCTCACAAAGGCTAGTGTACAACTACCTATACGCTGGAACCAGGGCCTTTGTTGTCCGCGATTGTGCAACGAAACGCGATACGCGTAGTATTTTATGATGTAAGGGAATAGGATCGCCTATCTGATTATAGAAGGTAGTACCCCTGTCCAATAGAAGTCCCCCTTGCAAGGTCCACAAGGTGCAAGCAAGTCGTGGCTTGGGAAAAAAACAAACATGGGTTGTTATGTTCATTCATTCAAAACGTTTGGGTGAGTGAGTCTGTCATACTACGCGGACACTGTATACCACCCACAATTTACGTCTTACAGTGGGGGTATCGGAGTACCAGTAGGGATGGCTCAGCCAGAAATAGGTAAATCTGACGTCTTTATTAACGCATACTTACTTCCGGAGTCAGGAATATATGTCAGAGAAATAATGAGTGTGTCACTGAACAACTCAATAATGGAGGTACTGTATAAATGAAACCGATAAGATAGTCTTTAGTCAAGCTTACCAATTTTATTCGAAAATGGTTATATATATTATGTATTAACCATTTTAGATTTATGTCCCAACATGTGTTTTACTAGGGGCCTAAACTTACATTCCGAGTAGGATGAGTTTTTGTGGTACGGTGAAGACTCTATCGGACCGAATCGTATTTAAACTTAGATAGCTTCTGGATTCAGGAAAAGTTGTTATTCAAACGCATTTTCCTGTTGGTTATTCCGGAACTAAAGCGGAGAGGTTTGCAAACGTTTGTCATTGTTTTGATTCCTGCACTTTAAGCTAATAGTGCTACAAATATAGGTAGCGTTTGTGGTAATACGTTTAAATGCACCACAGGAGTTTGTTTTTTCGTATCTGAACAATAAAGCTTGTTAATAGCGCCGAGAGAAACGATTATTAAAGTATGAATTTCAATTGAATATATAGAACAAGCTTGGTCATTACAATGCTTTAGATGGAGGAATGATTTAACAGGTAACATAAGCCCCGCTCCTTCAAGCCTTGTGCTATTATGATAGGACACAAGCACTGCGCACCCATATTATAGCTTCTGTTCTAGTACAAATGTGGAACATTAACATACCGATCTTTATTAAACTTCCACAAACAGAAGGTCAAGGACATTTGACACAAACAAGGAACAACCTCAATTTAAAACTGGGCAAAAACACCACGTAATGGCCCCAGAGACAAACAAGGAACTATCCCACCTTAGAACAGGCAGGGGGCATATAAATTACCCCTGGACACAAACAGGAACAGGAGATAATCCCAACGTACAATGTAAATCGATTTCAAGAAGCAACAATGGGCAACTATTATTTCGAATCTTCCATATATAAGCATATCNCCCTGCCAAGCCCATAATCACAGTCGTTTCTCATCTTTACGAACGNGTCTCAGCTTAAGTTTGCAATAGGGAAACATAGCTTGAGTAAAGGGGAACTTTCTTAACTTAAGATTTTTCCATAACTCAAGCAATGCTTTCCAATGGAAAATGTAAGTGAAGAAAATCCATTTGTGTTACGGAACGTTCCTTAAGCAGGGATCAGCATGTATTAAGGAACCGAACCCAAACGCATTTGTTTTCCAGTTGTGTGCAGTTAACTTTGCTCTGTTGACATGACCTCTGCATGACACAGGTCAATCTTAGGACATTTCCATGTGACGGAAACTCCATTTGTTAGGTTTAAAGAGTACATAAGAAGAGACTCGATTGCTCCCCATGATAAGGCTTACAAATGAACATCGTCCGTTTTTAATAACTTAAATGGGTATAGTTAATTCTACAGATTCAGTTATTACCTATACCTGGGATATACTTTAATATTATGTGAAACGTTTCATGATTTTGCATGTACAATGTATTATGGATCTAGGCAAATCACTTGAGAATCACACTGTAGTATTTCGTAAATACAGTAACCTCCATTCCCTTCCATTTTGTTTTTAATTTATAACTGTAGCACGACTTGGCCGGGACACTCCCGCTGACCGGGACACTCCCGTTGACCGGGACACTCCCACTGACCGGGACACTCCCGCTGACCGGGTAGCTCTGTTGGTAAGAGCCACAGTATAATGATCTAAGGTCCAAAGTGCGAATCCTGGGGTAGACCTGTTGTATTTTAGACTCAGAATATTGTTGTTGATTTTTATATTTCATCTTTTAGAACATTTTTTTTTCTCATAAAAGTCATGCAATGTCTGCTTTCCTTTTCAGAATTGATTTATCAAAGTTAAAATCAAGCTGGAAAAAATCCCGATGATTACAATAGTTACTCTTTTGGCAGTGGTACGAGAATACTTAATACTTAAGAAAGCTAACCAAACACGTGGTTCAGATAAAGGTGATTTAGAGACACGGAGCTGTCATTAAACGTCTTCTATAGTGATAGTGAATTTGTTCCGGAATTTATTTGTATACCGGAACATGTCGTCGATTTAATATTTCATCGTTTCCGGTTGATCCTAACACTACCCCTGTTATATAGAGAGTGCGGTCGAACCCGCTAATGTTTTATTTATTCTAAAACGACCGTGGAACAGAGAATTTATAAGTTAACATATCGCTTTTAAATTGATATTGTAAAGATGCCATTTATTTCCATTTGAGTTTAAATCTCCCAAATCCATAACGTATTGCGTAGTACACAATACGGTTTGTTATATCGGGGCACAATCTGTAGTGGAGTGGCTGACGTATTGTAATATTGCATGTGTGCTATAAACATTGATATCAATAAAAATGGCAGCACTGCACACTACAACCCGGCCGTTGTGTGGTCAACCTAGGCAAGTAACAGGTACGACTGACAGCGCGTTGTAGCATGTCGTCTGCTTGTAAAAAGTGACGTGAAAAAATATCGGGTAAAAATAAGACCACAACATTTCATGACACGCAATATTGGTTGAAATTAGTGCATCTAGGTTTAGGTTAATGGGTATTTCCCATGCAAAGCGTCGTGTTAGATCTATATGATATTTCGTGTGTTCTGCAGGGCTGACGTAAGTCTTCACCTTTTAAAATGAGTAAACAACTGTCAACGATACCCAGAACTACTTTCGGTGTACTAATATGCGGTTTGATTGTTTCCGTTATATCCGGTTGTATTATAGTACTCTATTTTGTATATATAAATACCACGGGTAGAATTGAGATCTTATCAGACTAAAAAGTACATAATGACGATGGGTTATTTTTCTTTTCAAATAGCAATACCTATTAACTCCTCTGACACAGCTTATAAATGTTTGATTTAAATATCAAATAACAATCGATTCCTTCATGTTACGTTGGACAGTCGATAGGAATGACATGTTGTTTTTGTTACCAAATTTATCCGTTAACAAAACATCCCAGTGACAAACACACCAGCTGCTGTGGTCCAATTGAGTGTAAGAGCTACTAAAAAACCAGCACAGTATCTAGCGGTATTGTAGGTCGATGTGCAATGTTAATATTCTGACTTG